TTCTGTTCTCCATACCAGAATGCCCTGCCCCTCCACTCTCTTTTTTGTGCATCTAAATTCTAAATTCTGAACTAATAAAGCCAAGAAGGTAGCTATAGGCCTATAAGGATAAGGACTATTTATACACATCCCACGAAAATGTCTCCATGTCGCGAGTTCAAGTACTCTGATCGGCAGGAGCAGGACACACACAAGAACCGTTCAATTCAATGGGAAATGGGGTTATATTATTTCAGTGATAGAGGAAGAGAGCTGATGGGGGACATGTCACATGTGTTGGGTTGTGGGAAATAGACAAATATGTYCCGAGGACTAATGAAAATACTTTTAATTATATATATGTCTTAATTAGTTGAGTTAGGTTCATATTGACAGAGATAAATATTCATTGTCTCTTCATTRTATACTTCATTATCATTATATAATAATAAGTATATAATTTACTTGTATGTATCAAAATGGTTACAAGAGAATGATAATTGAGTATGAAGTATTTTTTAAACTACTGTAATTGAAACAATAAGATAGGATTCAAATCCCGAACTTCTAGTCAACTAAAAATATGTAGTTGAAATATCTATATCTTCTTCCAAAGATTAAGTGTTGAAAAAAATTATTGATGGAAGTCGCTCGTAGATGCAAATTCATCCAAAATGACTGGATCTTAATTTTTTAAAAAACCATAATTGTTGTCAATAAAAACTATYGTTTCATTGACAAGTATACTGCATCAAATACATTCAATCATTTGTAATTCTTATATCACTAATTATTTAACTAATATAGCTTATCATCCTCTTTTATTTAATAAGTGAACTTATAAATTTAGTCTATAGACTTCCACGACTTTGTCAATTTCATAAAATTTTAATTTCTTTTTCAATAGATATACCGATTAAAAAGCTGTGTAATAAATTATGATCTCATACAAATCGAAGGTTCAATGTAATACGTAGGACTCAATAGACACAAATGTAATACGTAGGACTCAATAGACACAATTTTGAGAGAGGACAAATTTTCCAATCTTCGATTACAATCAATCCATGTTGTCGTCAATAATACCCACTTGTGTTGGTATTGGAAGTACAGAAGCGTTAAATTTTTTTGTATTGTTTATAAGAAGTATGTAACAGATCCTTTTATCTAAAGCCCAACTTGTCCAATTAATTTGAAGAGCAGCAGAGCAGCAGCTTCCACCTAATTTGATGAAGATCACAGGCAAAGGCGAAGGCGAAGGCAAAGGCAAAGGCACCCCCTTTCCTTTTTGTCTTCCCTCTCTTGTTTCCCATGCACATGACACCATTTAATTCTTCTCTGCCATCTCCACTACGAAACTCAACAACCCCGCCCCATCCACCGCACCCCCAACTATTTTCTCCTCCCCCCCATCTCTCTCTTGCTCCTGCTCAAAAATTAACTTCTTAATTACTCACCCGRCATGTCGCCGGAAAGTAATCTAGCCAAGCCCAGGACCAGGACCAGGTCCAACGACGATCAACTCAAAAATGCCCCCACAAAAGCGCCACTCAACTGCCCTCGTTGCGATTCCGCCAACACCAAATTCTGCTACTACAACAACTACAGCCTCACCCAGCCCAGGCATTTCTGCAAGGCCTGCCGCAGATACTGGACCAAAGGCGGGGCACTACGCAACGTTCCCGTCGGCGGCTGCTCCCGCAAAAATAAAAAGCCCAAATCGGCCTCCTTCACCCTTCCGTCCAACGACTCCGGGCCTTCGTCCAATTTGGAAATCGGCAGATTGGGGTTTTTCAACGCTACTATTTCGTCCGATTTTCAGCTGGGCGGAAATTCGCCCTTCGCGGCCTTTTACGATCAGTTTGGGGGATTTTCTCTCGACCAATCGAGAAGCCCGAATTCCTTCTTGCCTTCGGCTGGGTTTAATAATGGCCTCGAATTGAATGCGGATACGAGTATCGCCTCTTCTATTGAGTCTCTGAGCTCTATTAACCAAGACCTCCACTGGAAACTGCAGCAGCAGAGGCTCGCTATGCTGTTTGGAGGAGACAACGCCGCCCATGAGGACGGTGGAATTTCGATTTCCAAACCGGAGGTTTGTAATTCTTCCGATTTCAATGCAAGAAAAGATCATATCACGGCCGGAGCCGGAATCGGGGGAGCCTCTGCAGCGGCCGATGAGTGGTTCTTTGGGGATTCTTATGCCGCCACCTCGGTGCCAAGCACCGCAACGGGTGCGGCGGCCGCGAGCTATAACTCCGGCGACAGCGCCGTCGCTGGGTGCGATGGTTTTCAAGAGTGGCACGATTTGCATCAGTACGGTCATTTACCGTAGACAGGAAGGTAAAACGAAAACCCCACAAAGAAATTAAGAGATTAATGTTGTGTTCTTTTCTTTTCTTTCTTTCGTTCTTTTTTCTTTTTCAAACGTTGATATAAGTTAATGTTTCGAGGTTAACTTTTATGCCGGCCGGTTAATTTTTTTTTAATTTAATATAATTGTGCAAAAACGTGTAAATTAAACTGAAACCTTATAAATATATATATGATCCCAGATTTCCATTCAGTTCACCAGAATTGTGAAAAAATATATTTATGTGGCAGCCAAGGTTTTGAATACCTGTGCATGTTTGTGAAAATGTGATTTTATGAAAATGGTTAGGAAAAATATAGGTAAAATGTTTAAATATTATGCAAATTTTGTAAATGTATATATATAATATATATACACGTGGCTTAACGGTAATTGATATCTACTTCTTTCTTTAAAGTGAGAAAGTTTAAATATTTAATTATCCTCCCAATTGTTATACTTACAAAAGATTATTATGATAGTATTAATATCTATACTATATTAAAAAGGTAGGATGTAGGAAAAATATTTTTGGACACTTTTGCCCTTTACTAAATTTACAAATTACAAATTATACCATTAATATATTATTACAAATATTAAATTAATTATTAATTATTAATTATTAATTATCCATACTATAAATGCATTAAATATAAAAGGTTGGAATGCAAAAAGTTTTCCAACAACATAAAATTAATTTTTTCTTTAATTAAAATTCATACTAGAATTTCAAGAGTTTTAGAATTTGAAAAGCTTTTGTAACGTTTTATCCTCTACTACTATAAAAATAGGTTTCTTCTACATGTTTTTCACAAGTTTCAATACTTTTTTAATCTTAGTTCCTTCAAACATCTCTCAAAGATGATTCAATCATGAAAACATCTCGAGATATTTGTGACATATTCATCAAGTTGCAAGGGAGGCATATGTTGAATCTACATATCTCGAATACTAKGTTTGTGACATTACCATTCCACAATTTTACAAAGTTG